CCCGGCCACCCGAGCCTGGCGTAGCCAAGCGCTTTCTGAAATGGAAAAGTAACTTAGTAAACTTTTTCACCTGGAGTATGGTTGTGTTTTTGTTTTTTTGTTTTTTTTTTTGCTTGCAAAACATTTATACTCTTGTGACTTTGAAAGTCGCTTTGGATTTGTATTGGTTAGTCACAAATGGGACCGCTGCTTTGGAGGGATTATTGTATGTAAATATAGCAAATGATGAATAGACTTTTCGAAGCGAATGAGGTTAAAGGGTTAAGAAGGAATTAGCAGAAATATTTGATGGTCAGAAGCATGCTCTTCGCTCTCTTACACAGGAAGAAACAAATATCTTCCATGCTGTGCTCGGTGGAACTTTGCCAGTAAAAGTGTGGTGCAAGTTATCACTTGCATCTAAATAAAGCAATAGGAACCTACAGAAATTACATTAACGTTTTTCTAATATCTTCTCACTGAGAAGAAAATGGCGCTGCTTACCTCATTTGGTTAGTAGTACCCTGTCTGTATGTGCCAGGGTAACTAATTTAATAGGCTCTGCAGTGACTCTCCGTGCACTCTGTAGACAGGCTAAAAGCATGTTCTCTGCTCTCTTCAGTCAGACACAGATTATTAAAAACAAACAAAAAAAAAACTCCCAAAGACTAAATAGTCTATAAAAAAGCTCTAACTCTAAATATTATAATAACAGTTCTGCTGCACTTGAAAATTACTTGAAGACCACATGCACTTAAAATTCTGTGGTAGTGCAGCAGAGACATTGAAATAAGGCCTCCTAAAACTCTTCATTTGTTATTTAAAAAGAAAAAGCAAGTATACTAATAAGAAAACACTTCCAATGTGAATAGTACCTTTATGAAAATAGCCTCCTGTTTGTTTTTTGACTATTTGCAAAACTGACTCACACAGCCTATATAAATGGCTTCATTGGCTGTAAACCCAGTACAGGTTCTCTTAGTTTCAAGTCAGTATAAACTGTATTTTAATTTGTCAGCCTAGCTTTCTCTCTTCTTTTTATTTATTTATTTTTTGGTCCAGGTTGAATGCTTTGGCACATCTTTTTCTTTCCTCCTGTTCCATAAAACTTAAATAATATACCAGACTGCACCGTGAATCTTGAAATACATGAATGATTTGTAGATGGAATTATGGTGGGATACATTAGAAAAGAATAATAATAGCTCATAAAGAATGATAGATATTTAGTGCTTGCCAAACTGCACATGTACACTTATTTAATATTTTTCATAATCAAAAAAAACCAAACAAAAACCTAAGATTAATCTGATCTAGCCCAGATTTTATCAGTACAGCATGTTGTTAAGTACCGATTTTGAAACTGACGTTAACGTTTCTCAGGAAGGGGTAGGTGTAAAATACGTCGACCCCAAACCAAGTTCTGCAGTTATAGTCAGTGCTTGAGAGTTCACCTAGGAAACTTGGCTTGGTGGTGCAGTCTGGTATGTTCACATTTTCCAGGTCCCTCTAGTTTGAAAATGTGGGGCTTGAGGGGAAAAAAATTAATCATGACTTGTGTTTCATAGAGAAAAACCCTGCCCTGTCTTCAATTCTGTTTTAGTCATGATCTAAGATACCATGTTCTTTATCCGTTCTGTGGTGACTCCTGTAGAATTACTTTAGATTGCATGACCTTTAAAATAAATGATTTTGAACTTACTGAATCACTGAAGTGATTTTGAACATAACAGCATATTATTGCTGTGTTTGTCTACCTTGAGCCAGTGCATTTATGAATACATTACACTGGAATCCTCTGCGAGGGTCTTCCTGTCCATTTGAGTTGTCACAGTGTTCTTTGGACTCTTGCTCTACGAGAGACAGTTAAGCGAGAAAAAGATGGAGGAATTTCACCTTTTAAAATGGTCTGTCTGCCCAAAACTGTTGGGTGTCCAAGCTGAGTTTATTGAAATGTTTCAAGTATTTCCACTTTCATCTTTGTGTATTGCCTGGAATAGCATCAGTGTGGCTGAGCAGAGCCAGCAGTTAAAATCTTCAAATCTTTGCTAGGGCTGTTCGGCTTCGGGAGAGGCAAAAAACCAAAAAACAACAACAAAAAAAGACAATTTAGGCAGGATATGAGAGGTCTGCAAAACTGTGAGTGGGAGAGAGGGCAGGCAAAGATGGATTACTCCCTGTCTTTTACAGTATGAGAACTTAGGGAGTGTCACCTAAAAGCCTAGGAACCATATTCAAAACAAACAAAAGATTGTTTTTCATGGAGCGGGTAGTAGACACGTGGATGCTGTTGCTGCTTAAAGTTTACATCAGTTCAAGTGATGACTAGGTAAGAAAAAGGTAGAGAAATGGATTGAAAGTTTCAGAACATACAGCTTGCTCTTCCTTTTGTATATGCTTATGGCTGCTGCTAAAGATGAACTAGTAGACCCATGTCTGAGCCTGTCTGAGGGTTCTTCAAGGTGACCTGTAGACTAGTGCTGGATTAACCTGTACTTCAGTGGGAAAAATATTAGTCGCTCCTGAGACCAGTCTCCGCAGTTTGCCTACTACAGCTGTCGTAAATAGGTTTAAATTTCATTGAAGTTTGTATGTTAGCCTGCAGGTTATCTCTGTGCTCGTACAGCTATTTTTGCTAGTTCTAGCTGATTGCTCCGAGGTCCTTCTGCAGTACCCTGGTATATGGCTACAGAGCATCACATATGTAACTAGCAAGGTGCCATTTTCCCCAAAGAAAGAGGGAAATGGAACATCATCTAGTATGTTAATTTTGCTGGTGTCAAACAAAACAAAGTGCTAAGCAGCAGTTGACTTAAATACATCAATGATGAAGTCTCAAATACATCAATGATGAAGTCTCACGTGCCTGAGGGCTGCTATGCCTTTGTTTGGGAAAGAGGCAAGGGTTAATGGGAATGTCTTTCACAGCAGCCACCTCTACCAAGTGTTACAGTGCTGGTGAAGCTGAACCCAGCAGACTTTTTCTGGGAAAGTGAATCAACAACAGACACTGTGTCTGGAATACCCATTAGGACAATTAATTTTACTTTCTGTAAGGATTGATCTCATGAGCTCTGTTTAGAGAGCAGCTGTTGCTTGAACTCGGACCAAACTGGGGAACTGAAATGTGCTCTGGGATCCAGACTGATCTGACTAAAATACTTGATGTTGGATAGGGGTCCTGTATTTTTGATAGCTTTGAATTACGTACCTTGGTCATGCAGCCTATTGGATAGGGTACTGACTGTGGTTCAATAGTTGAATCGGGATAATATCAAGCCTTTCAGAGGGAATTCATTGCCTCATTTGAACTGTGTCAGAAAGCCTGGGATATGAAAAGGAAATTGGTCGTGAAGTCATTTGCTTGTATGCAGTAAATGGGCAAACTGAGCACTGGTCTAGTTTATAGATACCAGGTTATGAATAAAACAAAGGGCCTCTTTTCTTTTTTTTTTAAATCTCTGCCAAAGGATTTAAAAGTACTAAACACAGGCTGTTTGGGGTCCTGTTTCCACTGTTTTTTATCAAGAATATTAAATTTATTGTCACTCCACCTGCTATTGCTTTTGAGAGTTGTTGAGCTTGGGTGAAGTTCTCTAGTATCATTCAGCCTGTGAGAAGAGGTCACAGGATTAGCTCACACCAGAGTAATATATTATTTTGGTTTTAAAGATTCCTTCCTGTCTAGCAGACATATTAGCTTTGTTTTTATCTCTTGAACTGATTATTTATATGATAGATATTTCTGTGCTTCCTTTTCTTGAGGATAATTTTAAATACAGATCCTCATCCTTTGCAGTTCCTTGTTTGATGATGTTTCAGGTTTGTAATATGGCAGTCCGTTTGCCTCTTCTCTCTGAAGTGGACACATGCAAGTTGTAAGGCTCCTTGGTCCAGTGCTCTTCAGTATGTTTTTGTTATAAACTGTGGCCTGCAAATATATTAATGCATGTTGCTTTTCTTTCCTCCCTCAGATAAACTATTAGTTTTTACTGTAGCAACTAAAGAAACAGATGGCTTTCACCGCTTCATGCGAACTGCAAAGCACTTCAACTATACAGTAAAGGTATTGTATGTTTTCATACCATGTTCATACTACACAGCCTTGAAGACAGAAATGATGCAATAGTAATTGTAGTTGCTTTAGCTTGCTTGTCTATTGGAGTAAGGTTAAAAAAAAATTTAGAGCCCAGAGGTGACTGGGACATCTTGCACGTGTCCCTGCTGGTGGCCTTGTTGTACACCTGCCAGCCCACTCTGAATGTGTTGGGGCTTCTTCCACTGCCCTTAAATTATTCTGTGGGTTAGTGGTTACTGTGATCAGGAAGAGTGTGTTTTTTTCTTAGGTCAGCAATTTCCAGATTTAGTGTTTTAATATCCTCGATTTTGCTCTTTTTCCCTTTTATTCAAGCAGTCCTGCACCCATTTGTGTCCTCAGTTGTTCATAGGTTCTATCATAAGTTATTATGTAGCCTGGTTTTTTAATGCTACTTATTTGTTTGAGTAGCTACGTGAATACCTCCGTCAGTTGAACGGACGGTCCTTGGGCAGCCAAAAGGGCTTGTGTGTCCCCTTTTTCCTTAAACAAGGCTAGATGCCTTCTGTGGCAGAGGGAGGATCACAGAACTGAAAAGTTTCACAGTGTTTCTCAAGAACCTGTAATTCTCCGAGAGGCCAAAATGTTTCTGTCGCTCTTGCTACGTGCTTGTGCCACTCTTCTGCCTTGCTTCATGTCTACATATGTCACATACTGCGGTTGACCTCTGCGTGACCTTGGGAAAAAGGGAAGGCCCTAATTTTCTTTTAAACTTCCCCACAAATCAATTCTACAAGGGAAAAAATCCAGGAATTCACAGGCTATATTAAGATTTTTTTTTGCCTATTGAGCAGAGTGTTAAAACTATAAATAAGAAAGACACAAGTTAATTACAGTTGTTCCCCAGTGATTTTGTTTGAGAAGTGATTTGGGTTTCTATAGTTTGATTCTGCCACTGAGCTTGGAAGACTTAAGGAGTGAACCTTTCCTGGTATATTAGTGCTAAATTAAAACACCCTAGAAGCCTCTAGATAAAGCTATCGGCTTTGCAGATTTGCCCAAAACACCATGCAATTATAGTTTTTCCAGGTTTTAGAAGTTACCCAAAAAAATTATGCTCTTTAAGTCCTCAAACACCAGAAAAAGTTTAAAGACTTTTTTCCTTTTTTGAGATGTAATTCACTATAGCACTTGACTAGGGAAGAACTTTGTTTAGTTGACTTTTAGCAGCCAGTTGTAAATTGGGGGACCTATTTTCTACTGGTATAAGAGTTTTCTGGGGAGATTTCAGAAAGGACTAGACCTTGCAATTTTTATTAATATCCTGTTCCCCCAAGCTCTTTTATACCTCCTGTTCCTAAAATCCTTATATTGACTGTTAAAGGTCTCACTCAGAATGTTTCTGTAATATAAATTTGGAAATAATTATTCACATTTTTTTCTCTCTCTAAAGGAGACGTGTTTGAGTAAGCGGTGGTCGAAAGCAATTGCTCGATTCTTATTTGGTTAAGAAATGTCTCTCTCATGTTTTTGAAATGATGTAATTGTGCTGAATACCACTTCAGACATGGAAAACTTATGATGTTGGAAATGCTGGCTTGCTGTGCTTTAATGTGTTGCTTCTGCTTTAACATCTGTTCTCAATAAAGATCTGCTTTAAAAAGCCTCTTGTTTTTTGGGTACTAGCAAAAAGTGCTTTTTTTCCCTGGTTGCAGGTACTTGGAAAAGGTGAAGAGTGGAAAGGTGGCGAGTTAGCTAACTCTATTGGCGGAGGGCAGAAAGTTCGGCTGCTGAAAGAAGGAATAGAAAGCTATGCTGATCAGGAGGACTTGGTTATAATGTTTGTTGAATGGTGAGTGAATCTGGCTTGTTGCCTTTACGTTTTACGCTGGGTACGCTCTCAAAAGCAGCTGCTGTGACATGCTGAAAGTTGCATGCTGCTTTTCCTCTTCTCTGTTTATTTGAAAGATTTTTGCTTCCATTTTTTTCTCCATTCATAAAAATATTAAATTGTGCTTGGAGCAGTTGTTATGTTTTTTTTAATGCATTTACAAATGTAAAAGTTGTTCATGGTTCTGCTTCCGCAAGGAGGGAAAACAAAGCTGTTGGGAGCTGACAGGCTTTTAGGCAAGAGTCTACCCTTTCCCTAATCCATTGCTGTAAGAGCAGGAAACGGCTGCAAGATGGGAATGTTTGTTGCAACCACAGCATGATTAGAGTAGCTAAGAAACCAGCTCATGATTGTCAGCAAGATCTTCTGCTGCATCAATAACCAGCGTGAGATCTAGGAGGAGACCCGCAAGGAAGCGTGGGGAGCCAATCTTGAATCGGACACGTGAAGGGTTACAGACTGAGGCAGCCTTGGGGTGCTAGCTTGGTGCAAGCTCGGAGAGTTGCCAGCGCTGCTTGCGCTAACGTTCACGGCAAGTCGTTCTGGAGCGTGTACTCCCAAAGTTTTGTTCAGCTCTTAACCTACTCACTCGTTCTGTTCTGCACAAGGCTAGGCAGAGCAGAGCTACTGAGCTTTTTAGGAATCCTTTTGCAAGTTAAAGGGGTTTGCCAGAATTTGTTCAGCAAACCTTTTCAAAAGAGAGAGAGTGGTCTGACAATGGTATTCACTGAAGGGTTCCTTTGTTTTGCATATGTTAAAAGTTTTGGGAAGTTGAAGTAGCCTGCTAAACTGGTAGCAATTTTAAAGATGCTACTCAAATTTTCTTTCACTTTCCAAATTTTATCTATTGTATCCTGCCTCAAGTAGGAGATAGAGCTAGGAAGCCAATGTCTAAATAATTTTAACCTGTTGAAGAAAGGCTTTATAAGGAAAATGACTTATGTGCTAAATATTTTCTCTGCTACACTTCGTTGACATAAAAGTAACATATGGTTTGGAGCTACATGTTCAATTTTTGAATTCTTATTTTCTTATGTAACTGACTCGATTACAGTTTTTCATTCAGTAAGTGGAAAAAAGTATCTTTATAAAAGTATATTCAATGTTTATTCATACTATTGGTCAAGCCATAATTGAAACTTTAAGGGTCATTTTAAGGATTATGCTGTTTTTATTAAGGGCGCAGCTAAATCAAACATCCCCCAAATGTTTGTTGCATTGGGGTGTTTGTGTTTGCAGATTTACTTTCCTGATTTCTCACTGTTTTCTCCCTATATGGGCAAATATGCAAATTGATTATCAGTTTGGGGATAGCTTGAATTCTTCTCCAAAATCGGTTGTTCTCTCCAGGGGCAGGCTATCTGATGGGGATAGATGAGAGAGAGCAGAGGACTGTGTATTGTAACAAAGATGCCATGCTCCATCAGGCCAAAGTGCTGCTTGTCGTGAAAGTTGCAGGATTTAAAGTCTTCCAAGTTCTTGAAGATCACAATCCCCAGCATATTTTGATTTAAAGCTAATGGAACTAGTTCAAAAAGAATCATTTTCTTTTGTTAGTTTGATTCTAGCAAAATGCTTTATTTTTAATGAGCGTTTTTGCTTCCAAGAATCCTCGTCTACAAATGTGATGCTCATCAATGTAGCAGTAGGTTTGGAAAGATAAATACAACAAACTTCCTTTCTTTTTCAAGTGTTTTTGGTTATATTCATTGTGAATCATTAGAAATATTAATTTGGATAAAAGGAAATGTCTGACATACGTGCTATGACTAGTCAAATCACTTTTGATGAAGTGTTTACTGAAACTTTGCTTCTTTCTGGTTTTTTAGCAGTGTTTTTATAGGGCTCACAATTCTGGGAATAGTTGGAGATTATTCACTTATTCCTTTTGTGAGCAGTTTTGTATCTATGTGCCGATAGCAAAAGCTACTTGCCTGCCAATGGAATGCTATTTAAATTAGGTTTGTTTTTGGGAGGGCTAACTACTGCTTTAGTTCGGACCAGTTCAGAATGAACTGGCTGATGGCCAGTACAGACAGCACTAAAATGGTTCATGTTGTAACTCTTTGTCCAAAACTCCCACATCAACCCGTTTGTGTCCTGGCAGACTTGACATCTCTTAAAAATATATTTTTTAAACATTTGCTAGAAAATGTAAGATAGTTATCTTTTCTGCATACACTTCAAGCATTTTGAGATGATCCTTGTGTGGATACAGCGTGAACAATATTGGTTCAAAACGGACGTGTGGCCATCTAAATAGACCGCAACAGTCCACGTAAATAATATGAAATCTGGGACCAGCATGCCGGTCCCAGGTAAGCCCTTTCTTATTTGTAGTTTGAGCTCTTAACACTGAGTGTATATAGCTAAAATAGTAGTGTCACTCTCCAAGTTGTGGATGCAGATCTTGCCCATTCAGTTCTAGATGATCTAAACCACTGTCATGATCCCCCAGGGGGAATCTGGTGGGGGAACAGGGGACAGGGCCGCTTCCCTGCCGCAGCAAAGGGACTGGGATGGGCAGATTCCAGCCCAGAACATCTGCAACCTCAGAGCTGCAGGAAATGGAACTGGAATTCTGGAAAGTCTTTTTTTGTCTTCTGCTTAATCAGAAGGATTTATGAAAAAATAAATAAAAGTATCTGAGTCTTTCCAGCTTGCAAATACAGCCTGCCTCTTCCTGGATATATCCTTACTTTCTCTCCCTCATCAAATTGTGAAGCTCCGTTCAAAATTAGGATGCAGCAAGTCATATGCATAACCCATGCCACCGGTATAAGTTGTCCTGGAACCCATTCTGATACGTTCTGCAGCAGTAAGTTCTCTCCCTTAGTGGAAAAATTCCCTGCTATATATAGTGTTGTACGTAATCTGAAGTAGCAGGTAAGCAAGGCACGTGATGAATTTACAGGGTTTAGCTTGGCCCTAAGTGTGTTACTGTTGCCTGGAGACGAGAGCAGGAGCCTTGTAAAGCAGCTAAGGAGGTGACTGGCAGCGAGGAGCAGGAAGCTAGTGGAGTTCCTGCCTGAAGGAGATGGTGTTAGGCTTGAGTCAGCAGTAAGCCTGCAGGCTGCCTCTTTACGAAACAGAGTCATGGCAATTAGTAGAGAATGTAGGCCAATGATGGGTTCATACTCTGGCATGATATCTAGTAGTATGTAGAGTTTAAAATAATTGCTAGTGCAGCTTAGCTGCTCTGAAGTGAACTCTGTACAGTGCTTTATATTATAATATGTCCTGTATTAAGCAGCGTATCTCTTTCACCAGCAGAGTCTGTGGCTAACAGAGCATGTTGCTCAACTTTGGCTTTCTTGTGCAGAATGACAGTCTTTGGGAAGTGATGTTCCAGGGGTTTTTGATTCCTTCCTGCAGCTGTAAGTCTTTGCAGCAGCAGCACAGGCCTGATCAAAGAGAAGTGCAGCCTGCCATAAGCTGTTAGGTTAAAGCCTCAGACAAATCTCCGTTTTTGTCAGCCTTCAACTTGTCTCGTGTTTCTTGCTTGTTCTTAAGGCTCATTCTGGCTTTCAATCAGGTTACCCCAATTTGAATGGAAAAATGAGGAAGCATATTTTTGTATATTTGGGGAGAAATTGGCAATTTTTGCAAAACTGGAGAAGCTTCAAAATGTGCAGTACTATTTTTTTTCACAAATTCTGCTACCAAAGTTACAGAAAAACAAAACAGTGAGTTTTGAGAAACCCGCTTACTTTATATAGACTACATAACAAACTTCCTCTCCAGAGTTCATACTGTGCTCTGTGGTGGAAATCTTCTCTTTTGCATTCATAAGCCAGCTGTTCTTCAGTTCTCGTAGGCCAATTGCATGAAATGCCCTGTGAAGGAAGGGCATTTTACATAATTGCAGAACTGAAATGAGGAAGTACTAGAAGTCAGTCAGGGTTGGTCTCTTAACACTATAGCTGAGTAATAGATTTGCCCGAGAAGTTGTGTTCTCTGCAGAAGTACTGCAGTTGAAGGTACTAAAGTCACTGCAGTTCGTAAGGACAAAATCTTGATCAAAAGAAGGAAAATTTAGCCTGCTAAATTATTGGATAGCCCTTTTGATTTGGCCATTTGAACCTTCCTCTGTCCTATGCCGCAGCCCTGTTTCAGGGCTACTGATATTGATTGCCGAAGGTAGGAGTGTGGAATAGGATTATACACATATTCAGATGAGGAAACTGAGGCTAATTGAGATGCTGCCATTAAATCCTGATATTTTAACTCTCAAGCCAGAGCTTAATCTCCTGTGACATGATTCTAATGTTTGTGTCATGGTTTTGTGCTATGTAAAATGAAGTTTGAAGTGGTTTGTGCATTAATGCCTTTATATGTAGATCTCAAGTACAAAAAATGGAACCTTATATAAGAACAGTTCAATTGTTTCTACACATTTCGAGTTTTTTAGAGGCGTTGATTTAGATACAGTTCAATAACATGAAACCGCTAGGTTTGTGATGCTATGTTCTCACATGGCCTTTGCCAAACTCATGTGTGTTTCTTTCTGTTTTGGGAGACTGACCTGTAGCTTTGCATTAAAAAGAAGCTATGGATAACTGCCATTTTTAGAGATGAGCCCTCCATCTTTAGGTCTTTGTCCTCGATGGGGTTTTGGAGTCAAATTTGAGTGGATAAAGCGGGGAGGATTTCATGAAGAGCCCTCCTAATTCTCCAACAGATTAAAGAGATTGAAGCAGAACTCCGTGTATTGTGGGACTGCAGCACAGTCTAAATTTATGGATAAGTACACTTTATTGAGAAATATCTAAGTATATACTCGATATGGCTTTTCAGAAGAAAGTCTGTGCCATTGTGGTTTGGAACAGGGTCATCTGGAATTTCCCAGTGAGAGGCACCTAAATCGTTTTTCAGCCCCACTCTTTCAGCTACTGGGTTTTTTTGTTTGTTCTTACAAACATAAACACTTTTATGAAGGGGAAAAAATATTTTTACTCAAAATACATGAAACCTAAAAATCAATTTCAGGTAGACAAAAAAAAAATCTGAAGGAAAAAATGCCTAAAATGTGGAAAGTTCAGACAAATGGATGTAATTAGAGGAGAAATCATGTTGCATATCTGCATTTCCTGTGGAAAATATGGTAAGCCAGCTATTGTTTTGAACACAGAAGTGTTAAAATCAAACTAATCTGCTGGACATCTTTATTTTCAGCTATGATGTTATCTTTGCGGGAGGCCCTGAAGAACTGCTAAAGAAATTTCAGGAAGCTAATCATAAAGTAGTGTTTGCAGCAGATGGACTGATTTGGCCAGATAAAAGGCTAGCTGACAAATATCCTTTTGTCCGGAGTGGAAAACGATTCCTGAACTCAGGAGGCAAGTGTGATTCTTGGACACATTAAACACTTGAACACGACTAACTTCTGTTATCTGCTTTATGTATTTGCCTGTGTGTTGTTCTTGAACTCCACAAGTGCAAAATTGAGGATTGTATCAGTGGGTTTTTCTTTTTTTCTTTTTTTCTCTCGATAGCTGCTCTCCCATGCTCTAGAATAATTTCCTTCAAGAGTGTTTATTAGCAATAACACTGAAAAGCGTGTAAACCAAGTACAGCTGAGGGCATAACTCAGCCTTACAATGAAGTGTTGTGCAAGGGTCACCCAATCACCATCAGCTGAGTCTATTGTAGAAAAAATCTAGATATACAAGCCTAGTCAGAGAATTAAATGCTATTTATAGGCACAGTTTATTTGCTGGGGCACAGAATTTCCTAATGTGGCCACATTGTTCTTGGGGATCTCTGCACACAGCATAGATGCACTAGTAGCTCTGTCTGGCTCAGCAGTATAGCTTGAGGAATTAGTTCTGAGAAGTGTGAATAACTCCCATTAATCTCAATGAAGTGCGCGTTCTGGAGTCCCTGCTCCTTCAAATGAAAGCTTTGTTAATAATTTTGCAGCTGGTTAATACATGCATCCATCAACATTGTTTAGCTGTTTCAGAGTGCCGTACATAGCTTTTTCTAGGTACATGGTCCTTGGCAGTGTGCAGATCTGGGAATGTCCCCGTTTCTTTCCCTCTCATCTTTCCTCACCTATCTGCCTTGTCTTTTCTGTTTTGGCACGTTAAGTTGAATTCCCTTTATGCTTCTGGCAGTATTGGATTTCTTGCTTCTCTGGCAGCAGAGAGTGATTGATTGAAAATGGAACTTTTTTCCACAGATGGACTTCTTTCTCAGGAACAATAATAGCCCAGTCTCATGCTTTGGAGTCCATAGGACTGTCCCAAATGGACCACATATTCCTAATTTTCCCTTAAAATGGCATTAGTGTAGAAGTAACTCTTAATTTTTGAGCTCTTTAAAATGTAACTAATACATATCATCACAAGAAAATGGGACTTGGGAGCCAGATTGCATGAATTTTACTTTTCCTTTGCTGGCACCAAACAGTTGGAATGAAGTCCCTGACGGATGGAACAGCGTTGGCAGAGTACTACTTTTTATGGAAATAACTTATGTGTGTGTGATATTGCAGGATTTATTGGTTATGCTCCATATATAAATCGTATTGTACAGCAGTGGAACCTGCAGGATAATGATGATGACCAGCTGTTTTACACCAAAATCTATGTTGACCCATTGGCAAGGGTAGGTAGTGACTGGCTTTCTCATTTCTTTCTACCTAAATAACACGTTGCCCCCTCATAAAACATCAGAAGGTTTAAAAAAAACCAAAAAAACCCAAAAGGGAATGCGGTCTCTTTATTACTGCCTGCCATGCTGACAGTTGTGTTTGTCCTCCTGAGGTTGCTACTGTCAGAGTGATGAACAGGTTTCAGAGGGGTCATGACTTGAAGTATTATTTCAGGCTGTCTGCAGATCCAGGCAGGTTGTGCTTTGCTGTTGGAAATAACAGCTCTGAGGTATATGATCAGACACATTCGTCTCAGTGAGAGTCCCACGTACGCTGCAGTTTGACAGCCAGGGAGCGTGGCGTTTTTCCAGGGTGTGGCAGAACTTTTTGCCGATCCAGTGTTTTATATTTTGGCTTGCTGCCATTTCAGGTCCTGCCTGCAGCTGCCTCTGACTCTTCAGATTTTTAGGCAGATAGGTTCAGTAAGACTGCATCCTAAATTTTTGGTGGAGACTTCTCTCTGCCCTAGCTTAAAGTCTTGTGCAGGGTAGCAGGGAGGTATGCGTTAAAGCACAATGAATGGCAGAGGCATGGCCCTGATGCTGGAAAAAAGGGCTAAAGGGGATTGACAATATATTGATGCAACAACAGCTGGATTTAGAAGCTGATCCTGTAGGTTTTTGAGGTTGATTTGTGAGTATGTGTGTGCTAAGGGAGATGTGAAATCTTTGAAATACATACGTGTTTGTTAAAGTGTGCCTGAAACATAGGGCGTGTTTAGATCCTGGTACAGAGATGACTGAATTGGCATTATGCAAGTTAAGTTGGATATTAGATATGCAGCTGAAAGGGAAGGATGTAGAGAAGCTAGAGCTGACTAAGCACCAAAGTCAGAAGTAATATAACGAGCTGTCTAAGCAAATAGTCTTCTGGACAGAAAATGTGTGCCTCTGCACAGTGCAGCACTGACAGGGTGCTGACTTGGCTTGCTGAACTCCGTGGTGTACAAGGAACACCTTTAAAGCCACTGGCAGTTTATATTTTGACATGATAAGAAGATTTAGCTTTTATATTTTTGATACCATAAAACATAGGGCATTTTGATTTAAAAATTGCCATTATTGCTTGGCCAAGATTTTTTAATTCTTTATTTATTTATTTTAAGATAATACACGCATTTTCTTTGGCTTATACTGCCAAACTGCAGTTTCTTTGGAAAGTCATAACCTATATCCTTCAAGTTTAGATGAGTTTTTCTATATATAAAGCCAATCACTATACAGCTGCACCAGACAGGAATATAGAAACACTTGAACAGTATAAAACTAAGAATTATATCCAAAAGTTCACCAAGTAACACAGTTTTGCCTGATTACTTGCTGTCACTGCAGTATAATTATTGCATTACAGTAAAAGCATTAGCTTTTACAATACCTCAACATCTTTGCTAATTTTATTTCAGGAACGCCTTAACATTACTTTGGATCACAAATGTGCAATTTTCCAGACCCTAAACGGAGCTGTAGGTAGGTGTATGATTTACATGTTTTGTATTTTTTTAAACTACCATTGCCTTAAGAAATATGCTTGTTTGTTTTAAAGAATTATGTGTATGGGCAAACCTGACTAGCAGATTAATCACAGGTCTTTTTGGTTTAACATTAATCAGTTTGATTCCTTCATGAACCGTTTGATTTAAAATAGAAGAAATAGTTTTAACTAAATGAAGTTAGCAATAAATACAAAGTTAAGAACCATGTTTTCATCTACCTTTCCCAGGCTTGATTATAGGAATAAGGATGGTTATGAAATTGTACTTTAGTTGTTCTTAAGCAAACAACGGTATATAATGAAATGAGAATGAGGAAGAATGTGGAATTTTCTTCATTTAATTGTCATGAATTTAAATTGAAAAAGCCTTCTTTTTTTATATCTGTGCAAACTCCCTTTCTTACCTTTAAAGTTCAGTTACAGTGCAATGGCATCATATTTAGATCAGATCAGTTTGATTCCTCAATAAATATGCTTTGTACAAGTTTAATCTTATGTTTTCTAAGGAGATTTCCTTCAAATATTGAAGGATGCTAAAGGTAAATTCAAGTTTAAGGTAACCTCATTTGGCCTAAAGAGTTAGCTTAGAATTCAGGACTTGTTAAATACATAAGTAAAAGGATAAGTAACGCTAGTAATTGCAGCAATAAGACATATTGTATTAGCAAGAGTTTAGAGAAGTTTGAAATTTTAGCTTTCGCTTATAAACTGTACCTTTGCCTACTGTACAATTCTTCTTGATTTGCAGATGAAGTTCTTCTGAAATTTGAAGAAGGAAAAGTAAGAGCTAGGAATTCTGTGTATGAGACATTGCCAGTCACTATTCATGGAAATGGTCCAACTAAAGTGAGTGACAGCTTTTTTTCTGCAAAGACTGCAATTTTAGTAACAGCAAGAAGAATGGAAGAGCTTGAAACAATCTTAACGCTGCTTATTTCTAATTACTGTGTGCAGCGATAAACTATTCTCATAGCTCTCTCCATCATGTTATTCTGTCGTCATTGTAACTTGATATCAATGTGGAAAGAGCTCATTTCACTCCGAAATTCATTGCAGCGCTGGGCATTAGAAACAAAATGTTTGTTTGTTCACATTCTTCACTATCACTTCAAGGTTATTAAATGCTGATCAGAGGAGTAGGTTTTTAGGGGGAGAGAGATCTAACCTAGAGTCACAGGCTGGGGTACAAGAGAAATGTATCTGATCCTACCACAGACCTCATGACATATATAGCTGACTTGCATCGTTGAATCTTCAGTGTCTTTGATCACTGCCTGCTGGGTTCCCATGGTTCATTAACTGTGGGACCACAGCAGAGCTCTGTCTGCCCTGTGAAATTGTTGGTTTGGTGGCTTATAAATGGTATAAAATCCATTTATAAGGATTCAGTGGCCTGAAGGACTTGGCACAGTCCCCATGTGAGGAATAGCTATATTTTGGCTATGTGGCAGTTGCACTTCTTACCATATGGCAAAGCGGTGTCATGGTGTGCCGTTTTTGATTGCCTGTTAGCTGAAGGCGCCGCTGCTCTGCGAGTTCTTCTGAGCTCACGTTCCTTAAAGTAGCTCGTGCTTTCCAGAAAAGTGCCTCCCAGCTTAATGGGGCTAAGCTTGCAACTTGTACTGATATCCCAGTAACGGCTGTTTGTTAGCTTTTTGCACTGAATTTCATCTTCTGAATTAGTATACAACTGTTGTGATCTGTTTGGTTTATAATTACTCAGTAATGGTGAAAGATACAACCAATTTCTTCCGTGTTGCTATGATTTATTTGCTTCAATTCAAATGTCAAATTAACTATCTTCACTGGCTTTGACTATTTACCAATGAAAAGAAAGGTACTACATTTTGCAGTTGGGTAAGTGGTTTAGGTTGGAGCTCCTCCTTATACTAATCCACAAGCTATGCTACGTTAGACAAAACTTGATTTCTGCATGTGGTTAATGTTGTAATGTACCTTGACTCTTAGCCTTGACCATAAAACTGAAAGATTTCTCTTCAGTAAGAGTCTCCTCTTTGTTTTTATATATCGTTTTTGTGTGTTTATGATTAGATTCTTCTGTTTTAAACATGGACTATAGTTAAGAGGAGATTAATATGAAGAGATTGAAAAAAAGTTTTCACTAGCTAGTAAATAAACTAGCACTGAAGCAATTTCCTCTTTGGAATTGATTCTGGAAAAGTTTTGTGTTTATAAGAGCCTCCTGTTTTGTATATGATCTCTTGAATTTGCGGATTAATAAGTTACATTAATCAGAGCCATTTTTTGAAAAGGATACCAAATTATATTGCATTAAATAGGTTTTTTCTCCCTTTTCCCTTTATTTTTACTCAGATTTTTGTTATGAAACATTCTTCTAGACTTTTATTGTACATCTATGGAATTAGATTATAAATAGAATTGCTTGAACTTATTTAGAATGGTTTTCAATATGCATGAACAAGCTGAAAAATATATATTAAAATGCAAATGGAGTACTGGACTGGTGTATCTTCTTCCTGTGTAAGATGACACTCCAGCCTTCGAGGTTTTGATGAAGGCAATAGAGAAGGAAAGAGCAACAGCCTTCTTTCAGGCAGACTTTCCCTAGCGTAAGAGATCTCTTAACTGTTGCAAAAAGGAGTAGAGAAGAGTGAAGTTCTGTACAATCCAGGAGGACATGGCAGCCCAGGCAGCCCATCAACAGAAAAAGTGCATATCTTGTTCAGTGTCAATTCCAAGTCTGTTAAGAAGCTAGATGCTGTTTTAAAACATATCCTGCTGCTTGGCTTGTCGATCTTGGCATACCTTGCCAAAGCAAAAGCTTAAGTCTGGTCTGCATTGTCATCTGAATATATATCTTCCACGTTTTCTATGGTCCTTTCATATGGCTACCCTTTATATTTTGTATAAAGTGTTGATAGTTCTCAGATTCAGGAAGAGAATTAAAACTATAATCACTTTTTTTGGCTTGAAATCATGCACAACAGCTTGCGAGAGCTAGATGATCTGTGGACTGTGCCTTGGAAGTCAAACAGGCATTTAGTTGGTAGTTTTTATGCTTGCAACAATAGTTTGGCTTAACTGAAGGATAGATTCTAGAGGAATGTCATCCATATTGTGTAAATAAAAGGAAAAAGCTTTTTTATCTCTGTTTTTATATTTATTTGATTTTAGATAAAAAGATAGTAGAGTCAATTATCTTTAGGTGTAAGGGATTCAAAGGTTAAGACCGACTTCCATAAAAGGTACAAATTGGCATTTGTATTCATGTTTTTGTTAATCTTAATTTTTCATTTGCTTACCAGATTCACTTGAATTATTTGGGAAATTATATCCCCAATGCTTGGACACGGGAAACTGGATGCAGTATTTGTGATTTAGACTTGCTAGACCTATCAACAGTAACGGTAAGAATACCCTTCTGTATAATGCAACCCTTTTGAATGGATTTGATAGATATATAGTGATTTCTGAGGCAAACGGCTGCAGAATGCCGTGTTATGTTTCATGCAAACCTTGTGATTTTTTTTTTCTGGTACATGAAACTGTGAAGAGAATTTCAATTTCCTGGAAGTACCAATAGTTTTAGAAATGTTTTCGTAATGCCTACATTTTATTATAGGTTTCCTTGTTATTACTAAATATAATCCTACCCTAAAAAATCCTCCTTTGTCTTCCATTCACTGAAGCTTCATGGATGATTTTTGAATCATGCAAGATTCCAGTAAATAATTTGAATTTCTGGGAAGCGTAGAAACTTTTTAAATATTGTAGTTTTTTTATGTGAAGATTTATGCAAGACTAAGATATGCATCAGTTTAATACTCTGTGTTACAAATAGAGATCAGCAGTTACCTGTAACATGATAACAGTTACTCGTTCCTGAAAGGGCTAGAGAAATAGTCACAGCACTTGAAATTTCTACTGCTTTACTTTGAGGGGTAATACAGATACCTGTATTATTGTATATGTAAATATATATCTGTATAATAGATCTGATGTAATGGAGATCTGATATCAGTTCACAGAATTTAGAATTTAAAATTTTCATAGGACAGATACACAGGTGTGCATGTGCATGCACACACACACACACGTGCGCATTAGCCAGTTTTTAGGAATTTACTTTGCTCTTTGGCTCCAAGTGTGAGATCTCCAATGTCCTTACATATTTTTCAGTTTGTACTCAGTACATTTTAGGCAGACTACATGCGAAGATCTACAGTTTAAAAATATAAGTCTTGTACTTAAAAGGACATTAAGATTTTTCTTAACAAACTGTTCAGCAGCTGTACGTTTTGTTTCTGTTCTGTAGTGAAGATCCAAGAGGAAGGCTTAGGGGGTCATGAAAAGTGAGGATAGCTTGAAAGAACTGATGGCTTATGATCCTTGTGACTAAAGGACAAAGTGAAAGACTTCTGGACAATAAGCAGCTTATGGACTGGAATATAAATTCAAAAAGCTATTGCTGGAATTGTAATCACTTTCAGCTTATTTTTATGTCTTGTATTTCAAAGCAAAATAATAACAATAAATTCTAACGATGTTCTACTGAAATTATGGGTGTTTGGCTCCCAAATCTAACTTAATCTGGGGAAAGAAGTTATCTAAGTTTTTCCTAAATGTGGGGGCAATTAAAACATGGCTGGGGAGTAGTTAAAACAAGTTACCAGAAGTAACTAGCAGTGATTTACTGGATAATTTCCTATAGTTTGAGCACATCTATTTGGAGGTTGTCTTCCTTTACTATAATTCATTCTTTGGACTTCATACCTCCCTTATTCTGCCAGAAGGAATACCGAGACTTTTTCTTGGCCTCTGTGGAAGTGTTTACTTTGGGCTTTTCTGAGTACAAGTGATATTTAACTTTCTGAACACACTCTCTGTTCTGGCCTGGCCGGTTGCTACTTAACAAGAAATCTTTTTGCTAAAAGGGCAATACCGGCTGTGAATCTTTACCATGATCCTTTCTGTGTTGTTTCATTTAACTTTTTGCATCTTGAAGCTATCTTGTATGGTATTTGTAGTTTTTCTTTTCTTTTTCCTTTTTTTTTTTCCACAAGCAAGTAGAGGATCAAATTTGATGCCAGCCATGTTTCAGGGTTTAGATGAATTCTAGAATGAATTGACACGATGAGCTTAGGAGTTGCTGTTTTAATGTTTTGGGTTGGGCATACCTTCAGACCTTTACTTAAGTGGCACAAAGCCATTAGGCTCTAGTGTAGAACAAGTAGATGAGATAATAGTGCTTTCCATCATGGGCACAGGCATATCCTTCTGTGTTGGTGAAGTGTGGGTGCACGCGAGGCAGAGGTGGGTGGAAGAATTGCCATGGTTTTATGGAAGTCATTCAGTGGTGGATGAGCAGAAAAGCCAAAGGCACTACCGGGCGCTCGCTGTGGAAACGCTCATGGTAACTGAGTTCTTCTGCTAATATAAACAGCCTACCCAAGATCAACTTCAAATTTGCTAACCACTCAGATCAAAGCTGGGGGCTGGTAAATAAATTGAAGAGTAGAGCTTGACACAATGCATCGAGGCAGAGGTGGGTGGAAGAATTGCCATGGTTTTATGGAAGTCATTCAGTGGTGGATGAGCAGAAAAGCCAAAGGCACTACCGGGCGCTCGCTGTGGAAACGCTCATGGTAACTGAGTTCTTCTGCTAATATAAACAGCCTACCCAAGATCAACTTCAAATTTGCTAACCACTCAGATCAAAGCTGGGGGCTGGTAAATAAATTGAAGAGTAGAGCTTGACACAATGGTAGACTTTTGTGGTGTGTGTTTTTTTTTTATTTTTTATTAAAACCTAATTTTGAACTGGATGATAAAATGTAGTCTCCCTACAGCTGCTTCTTAAATCCTTAAATTTGTTCTGGTCTGGACACTTCCCATTGCAGAATGGAAAGAGCGACCTCATTTCAGCCTCTCTCTTCCCTGGCAAATCTTGTGGAAAGGGCTCTCGGACTTGACTCAAAATAACTGCACAGAGTAGTATCTTGTATTTGTCAGAAATTGTCATATGCTTGCCTAATACTTGTGAAAAAATAAACCTTAAAAGGCCTTCATGAAGGCCTTTATAAGGCCTTCATGAAAATGAGAAAATGTCAGATGAAACATAACATCCCAGTGCAGACTGTGTGTTCTGGAAAAGTTTTTGCTTAGGCTTAATTGAGAAGAAGCAAAACCGCAGATCTAATACAGTCAATATACTGAATATTAAAACTGTATGTTCTGACCTAGATTCAGATTATGCCTTGACAGGTTCTTATAATATAGTGAACCAGGGTCTAGATCCATGAACTCTCTGCTTTGAGAAGAAATACTGGGAGAGCTGCGCTCAGGGCTCTGTACTCTGATATTTTAAACATTGTTTTGCTTTGATCACACCCCTGAGATTTTAGTATACAATGTTGAAAATTGTAGCCAAGCAATTCATTTCAGTGTATTAAAAGAATTGGTAATTCCCAGTTTTCCCAATGCCTTTGCAGTTCCCATCTGAACTTGCTTGTCTTTGCCCTGGAAAATATGGGGGAAAGTAACATAGAATTTGAGGTTATATTAACAGTGGTTCTATTATTGGTAGCAGGTGGGCATCTTCAGCTTATTAAGCTTTATGGCATGCTGCTTTCCTGATAAATTCTCCTTGGTTGCTTGCAACCAGTGACATCCGTTACCACGACGCTAGTCTCAGTGGAGTAGTTTCTTGAGACTATCATAGCTCCTTTTTTAAAGACAAGTTGGTGTACATGTCTTCCTCAAATGTTTTGAAATGATTTGCATGCCTGTATGAATACATATTAGGCCTGGAGATTAAGTCGTGAATAGGAGGTAGTCTGAGTAAATGTTGGTGCTTAATGTTTCCTCTCTGATATATTTATACTGGTATACTTGCCAGTATGTTTCTGGATTTCCTATGTAGACACTGACATTGTGAAATTTCAGCATGTACTGATCTTTTATCCAGACAATTTTCAAGTGGCTTTGATTTGCTGAAGAAAAACTAACTTGAAGTCTTTTTCTGCTCATCTGTGGTTTCTCTCTATGGCTCTTCTTGTGAATTAGAGTTGTTTACGTTAACTATCTGTTTTAAAGGTGAGGAAAAACTAGTTTTGTTTAATCAGTACATTTCTTTGTGTGTGGGAGCAGAGGCCTTTGAAAGCTATGTTTCTTCATCTCAAGTAATGTAATAATGTAGTCTAGGAATACATCCAAAAGTGCTATATAGGTTTGTTTAAGTGGTGCCCACATTACCCTGGGATTAATACCCAGGGATACATTAGCCAGGGATTTAAAAAACGTGAATTAAAAAGAAAGTAAATACGATTTATAATATAAGCCATAGATGACCTCTTCTCACCACCTTGTCATCCACTTTGAATTGGTCCGTATGATACTTTGTGTAAACTTGTAAATAGTATGCAGCTTGGCTGCTACTGTTACCATTTGTTTCCAGCAAAAAGTTGCCATCCTGAACAGTGCTAATAAATAGTACTGGGTGATCTTGAAATTTTATTTAAAGGATTAAAATAATGTGGATAAAACTTCAGTATTCTTAGGTACAAGGGGAGATACTCTGCTTCCCTACTGACCGATTTTATCGACACCTTTAATGAACAGAGTGATGCAGAACTCAACTGGCAGCAGGGCAGGGGCAGTTAGTGCAAGTAAAAGTGAAAAGAAAGGTATTGTGATCTTTGGCTTAACTTGCAGTTGAGAAAAATATTTTGTGGTATTTATTTAACTACATTTTAAAAATAGATCTTTCCTTATTTTTTTTATTGTTAACTACAATTTAATAGATACAGATGTTGCCTTCACAAATAAGGAAGTTGCCACATAGATTTAGGTATATTTCTGTAAATAATTTTTTGCTAATGCTTTATTTTTTTTTGTATAAGTAAGAACTTAACTTAACCTCATTGTATTATTTAAAATAGCAGTTTGTTGTTGAAATTTAAAGAGAATTCTAACAATATTAAGTGTATTATCTTTGTGAAGTCAAACAGGAGATAAATTGGGGGGGTAGCACTTAGGGGTAAGTCTGGTTTGTTTGTTTGAAAGCTGTGTGGCCTGATATAGTTGTGTTAAAGCAACTAGTCTCGTGCTGTAGTAATCTTAGAAAGGAGGCAACGCTTATTGGTTGTGTCAAAATATCATTTTTTTTAGGAATATCCAAGGGTAAAAATTGGTGTTTTCATTGAACAACCCACTCCTTTCCTACCTAAATTTTTAGACAGACTGTTAACTCTGGACTACCCAATGGAGGCACTCAGTATCTTCATTCATAATAATGTAAGTATTATGTAACTATTGTGCAAAGCTTCCTTTTTAGAAATTATGATATGAATGAATGTGGGGGGGAAGTATATGGATTCTGTATATGTATACAATTAAACTGCGTTGGAAGAGATATCCAAATCTAAGAGATTTTCTTTCATAATGCAGCATGCAGGAGTGGAAAAAATGCAGTAATTTTATTAACACAGACCAAATTGCATGAAATCAAAGCAATCCTTGCTAGAATCTGTTTATACCAACTGCTTAGATTCTTTCTAGTAGTGAGAAAGATTGTATTTTAAAGTGTATGTTTTTGGGAAAAGTACAAGTTGACATAAAACAGTAGATGACACTGGATTTGCTTTTCATCTTGTTGAGACTGCAATGCAGTTTCCTTTCTCTTGGTGCTCCTACTGGGTGCCGTGGGATGGAGTGATGCATCCGTGTATGTTTTGAATGGCAGCGCAACTGACTGGATTGATTTTTCTGAATATTTTTGAAGTGCTTTTTTCTAGTTACCTGCAGGCCTGCTGTTGCTGAGACTTCAGTAGCACTATTAACATAAGTGAGGTTACAGATTTGTGCAAGTCTTTGAAAGACTGAGCTGTAAGAGAGATGGCAGGAAGATTTTATTATTCTGTCCTTTCTTATTAGGCATAGGGTGCTGTTTATATCATAGCTCTGCATATTTGAGTGATGGAAGTAGAATTCATCTGTAAAGTTTTCAGTCTGTTTTTGTGAGGGGATGCTAAAGGTATACATATGATATGCACATAGGAATTGTAGGCTTTTCCTGCTGTTCTGAGTTTCATTGTTTCAGCCAGAAGTCATATAGTATTTGAAATGAACAGCCTTTTTATTATAGGAAGGAAAAAAAAATTGTATTTAGTTACTCCAAAGTCGGTCATAATATGCAAAAGCTATAAATGAAGGCGCTGATCTGGAAGTATTGCGTGTTGGTGAGGCCTCTTAAGTTAGTGGTAGGGCAATTGGAAGTTAAAGGAAATAATCACTCTAACCACATCTTTTTAGGAATGAAAACTGAGTGTTTCTTTTTCTTTGATACTTGTATGAATATTCACAAAAGACTGGTTTTTATCAGCTTAAAACAAGGTAATAGGCACACATGTACCCTACCCATCTCTACCTCTTCTGGCACAGTTGCCCCTTTCCATATGCTACCAGGAAGTTTCTTCGCTTCCTTTTCCTAGAAAAGGCTCATACCTTTCCGAATCTCCTTACTAGGAGTAACATAGAGTGTGGTTTCCACCCACAGCCACCTTAGTAGCGCTCAGCACCTCCAGCCTGCCCCAGGAGAGAAAGTGGGGAGGGTGGCCGGGCTCGAGGTGGGCACTACTCGGTGCGGCACCCTCCTGCGGCTGGGGACGCACGGGCGTAAAGCCGTCCGATGTGGCGTGAGAGCACATCCACGCCAACGGACAGGGTTCGAAGATGGCAAAAGGCACGACCTAAGAAAGCATCATCTGAACATTTGGTGAATCTCTCATCACTGGTCTGGAGGAGCTGCCTTGATTGAAACTGCTGAAGTGTTGGATTCTTGTGCTAAAATTTTGAGTGGAAGAGCTTGATTTTAGTGATAGATGTACTGAAATATCCGCAAATAATGCGTTTGCCATCTGTTTGTTTGGGATAGAATACAATTTGTACTTGGACGCTATAGTTATGATTTCACAGCAATTTGTACTTTTCATTCACTCTTAAACAATGTTAACATGATTACAGGAGGTTTACCATGAAAAACACATCAAGAAATTCTGGGAAAAAGCCAAGAACATTATCAGAAATATAAAAATTGTTGGACCTGAAGAAAATCTGAGTCAAGCAGAAGCCAGGAACATGGGAATGTAATTTCTAATTTATAAATCCTTTATAACAGTGCATATACTAACTTTTTTCATCTTTAATATGTATTATTTTTCATAGAAATGTTAACAATTTTGCATCTTAAAATACAAAAGTGGGGGCTTTTGTGGTAGAAAAAGCACTAAACATAAAATATGAACTAATCGAGTATTTTATGATCGCTATCCAATATAAAAAGCGTTTAGTCGTTTCTAAAAACACTTCTCTCTGGTTTGGACTACTTCAGTGATTTGTCATTTTGTCTTCTGATGAAGACACAGACAATAATAGACTGTGAGGAAACAAAAGAGATGTCAGATTATTCGTATTTGTACTAAGTATAATGTATTTTAAAACATCTGTCATGAGCATAAACTCCCTAAACTGTAAGTATTTTTAAATAAGATCACTACACCAGCAAGACATAATACAACACACTGAACTTTAATAACTTATGTATAACCACAGCATGAAGGCTCTAACAATGAGCGGAGGTTGTTGTAAGTAGAAATTCTGATTACACTATATTCTTGGAAAAAGGTATTTGGTTTTATTTTTGTGTCCCAAACCTTTTCAAGCTAAGTGGTCACAGAATGATTTATTAGGATAGAAGTATATCTTGCATGCAATATGCATTTAACATCTGTACTTTTTTTGTCCTGACTCCCCCACCACCACTTTTTTAAATATAAAATTTAAGTAACATATGGTTAGAGCTGGATCTAGGCATACAGATGTCAAAATTATGTTGCTTTATATGGTTCAAAGAGACAGGAATCTCCTTTAGAAGTGCCATAGCAGAAGTTTCTGCTTTCCAGAAGAAGTAGTTGCAAAGGCAACTGATTTCATCTTTGTGGTCCATCTCACTTTTTCCCTTCTACCAGGGAGAAGCTACTGTCTCAGTTCACACCTGACACTAGTCAGGCCTGACTGAACCTCTGGGTATGCGTTCTTGGTCAGACTTGCTTGTCAAGGGGTCTCTTGTTCAGTGGCAGCGATGCTGGCCAGTATCACAGAGCAGCTTGCGGCTCTGCCTGGATGGACCTCCTGATCTATCAGTCAGATTATTAATCAGGAGTTTTACGAACCAGGATCCCACTAAGACTTTGTCATGGCCCTTTGGCAGGCTTCATTCCCAGGCAGTTCTTTCATTAGTCTTTTCTCCCCAGTCTTCCACCACTGATGGAGCAGAGAAATTAATTTAAGAAGGTCCTTTTCTTTCTAAATCTGAGGTTAAGAACATAGCGTAGATTGCTCGTAACATCACCTGAAAGAATGAAGGATTCGTCCTGAATCTTTGTGATTTTTTTTCTATTATTATTCTATCTATATATTTCTATTTCTTCATTCACTTATTTTTCTATTTTTCTGTTTCTTCATCTCAGTATAATGAACTTCTGTTAAATCTCAAAGATCTTTAAACTTGTCTTCCTCTTCTATTGGAACCTACTTGCTTTATAACATGATGGAGGCTTTTTATGTAATATGTTGTCCTCGCAGATCTGTGGCTAATAATAGTAATTTAAATATATATTTGCATAGAATTCTTTCAAATTCTCTTATATAAGACAGGGAGATAATCATACTTGTGATGTGTACCAATGGGGATAACCATGTTTACGATTATATGGATATAATTTCACCCAGGTTGCTTCTGCTTTGAAGAGCCTCTTAATTAGAGGTCCTGCTCGAAAGAGAAGTGTAGTGTATTGAGAAATTGTGAAGCATAATGCGTATGGAATGAGATAATGCCAAAACACTGAATCATGCATAAATCATGACTATTATTAGTTGGCTTGTTAACATGGACAATGTAGATTATATTTTGCTGGCTTTTTTCAGTTCCACATAAGCTCAAGGATAAATGAGTTTCAGTTCATCTGCCTGCTCTCTTGCATGCTCTTGGTCTCTTCTGCTGCCCTTCTGGTTACAGTCAGCCTCTTTGGAACAACTGTTTTTTTTTCTTCAGAAAATTTAACTTAGAAGTTTGGGATGTTTGTGGAAAAGTCGATCCCTATGAAAGTTGTTTGCTTTCAGCCCTTCAGCTGGCTTCCAGAAGAACCTCTTTTTTTCTCACTAATATTGTAATGGGAATAACTTGAAAAGAGTAATTCTTCACAAACTTTTTTCATGGCTTGGTTTACAGAGATTGATTATATTCAGTCATCTGATTCATTTTTGCCTGCCTCTATCTGCATACATATCTGCCTGATATTTTTGTTCTGTCTGCCTCAGACTTTCCTTTTTTTTTTTCAAAATTAGCTGATTTTATTGCTTATCTTTCTGTTTTTTTCTAGTAGATTTCAGATTAGTTTCATGTCTTCATTTGTACACTTCATATACACAAGAATCTGTTTATCTGCAACAGCAAAACATTCTCCAGTTAAGAGAACCTAGTTGCTAGTGTCAAAACAAACAAAACCTTCTTAAACGTTGAAGGTCCAATATCAGTTTTCAGTGGCGTGTTTTTGTATATATAACGCAATTGATATGTCTTCTCCTTACTTTGCTTTCCCTTTGAGGCTCAGTAAAACATGATGATATATCAAGATGAGGTTCTCAGTAAATGTGACTCTTATGTCAATATAAATGTGAAGGAAAAGAACTTTTTTAAATTTGACCAGTAACCATGTAGCAAACTGCTGCTTCTCTCATTCACTTAATAGAGATTAATTAAGGCATTTACTTTCTTGCTTCCTATTGACATGGAAAGCCCCTCCTGAGCTTTTTGAGATAGTTTGATAGCTGTTGAAAAGGACTGTAAATTGTATAATCAGCAAAGACTTGATACAATTCAGCAATATTGGCAAACAGGAGAGCAGACTTTTCCTCATTATGGACTGAAAGGGGAAGAACTAGAATAAAAAGAAGGAAAATGGAGTAGGACAAAAGGAGGAAAGTTTAAATGTACATTATCTGAGTAGTCTGTCTCTGCATGTATATCCCTTGGAGATGCTGTTAGGGTTTCATGTCTTTTAAAGCCTTTGTCCACAAGAAATAAATTCAAGTTCTTAACAGTCTTTTTTTTTTTTTTCCAATTTCAGTGCTTTAAGAAAAACAACTCATCTTAGTTCATCCTTGTGTTTTTTGTCTTTCTGGAAGATAAGACTTCAACCAGCTGTTACAGAATTGATGACAGAAAATGCAAGATAACTGTATGAAATATATTAGGCTGTAGCAGAAAGTGGGAAATATAAGAATTGATTTTATTCACTCCTTTATAGAATTAAAAATACAAAAAAGTTTTAAACAATCTTTTCCCCCCTAAAACACTTACAGACTTTGAGGTTCTTGTTTTTGGTTTTGATTCTTGGTTTTAGGGGGATTTTTTTTTCCTTTCCTGAAAAATGAAAAATATTAGTAACACAATTAGCTAGGACTTTTCTGAACTTAAAAAAAAAAAAACTTACCTCAGCTTTTAGTGTGAATATACTCATTTTAATGAAAGTTTAAACTGAAGGCTCTCAAGAGTTTCAGGAGAAATGGAGAGACCACAACCAGTTTGCCACTTGGTAGACCTCGTTGTTGAACTTTCAGCAATAACTGAATTTTGGGTCTCCTATGTGCCCCTTGAAAATCAGAGGGTATTAAGTCAATGTCTCTTCTTGGAGCTCCCATTTCATATTGATAAATTATTAATTGGACACAAAAGGACTTCTTTTTAGCCCTGCAAGTAGGGCAAGTATCTTGGCAGTGGTTAAAGTCAGGGCAGGGATTTAAATCTGTACCCCCTGGGTGTCACATGATTTCTACTGGAAACTTGGATTTTTTGGAGCTGCTTCTTTTCTAAACACTTTGGAAGTTTTGGGTTTCAGTCTCCTTTGGAGTTAGGAGCATTTTGGACTTTCAAAGTGTTGCAGAATGTAAAAGGCTTTCCTACCCATATCTCATTTTGGCAGTTTGGGGATGTAGTAACTGTGGTGGTAACAGTTTTGCATCACAAGCTAAGTAGATGTTGGTGCTTTGTCTACTTTGTGGATACATTTGTTTACCTTTAGTGATGGGTGGCAGGGCTTTGTGTATCCAGTTCTGAAAAAAACAATGACTATCTCTAGGGTAGGTAGACTGCAAAATGTAGTTCTAAATGACAAGTGATGTCACAGAGTCTTTCAGTTAATATTGCAGGCTTGTGTCTGAGAGCACTTCCATTGAGAGATTTGTCAAAGAGCCTAAATGCTCTCCTGGAAAGTGTAATGTCCATATTTGGAATTGTGTTTTCAAACTGAGAGGCATGTTAAAAATGACAAATTGATTAATTACAAATTCAAATCACGCATGACAAAAATTTAAATGACTCAATCTGCTAAACTTTCTTCAGTATTATACTTGTTTTCCTCCCTACAAAGGACTAGCCCCTTTGAAGATGTCATCGGAAAGTTTCATCTGCAAAACAGCAGTGAAACTTTTCCTTTTCAGATGGTCACTGTTCTACATGGGTGGAAGGTTTAAGCTAAGTTCAGTGTCATTGCAATTGTAAAATACAGTAAAAAGATCTATTGAGCTTCGTTTTGTATTTTGAACAGAGCATCTTGGTCTTCTCCTACTGGCTCTTTCTTTTGATTGCACACTGAAATGGCTTTCTCAGGTTACATACAGAAATAAACCTTTCTTTTCAAAAAGGGTGGATCAGGTGGAGTGAAAAACGAGTAGATCAAAGTTTTTTTAGCTGTGAAACTTCAGTTAAAAAAAAATGTATCACCATACCTATGTATTGCTATAAAGCAATTGCCATTTCTTGTTCCGTGCTCTGGCCTGAATATACATAATAAGTAGTTTCGCATGAAATCTGGGATTTCTATATCTGTAGAGGTTAGCATACAATGTAAGAATGTAATACTTTAAAGCATGAGAATATCTAGGATTATTTATATTTCCCTGGGAAAGCTACTTGGCAGCATTGAAAGCCTAAAGAAAGGAAACATGGATTTTTTTTTTTTGAGTAGGCTTTCTCTATTAATTTTGAGAGAAATTTTTCAACTGTCTTTCTGTGTATCTGAAATTGAAAGTATTTTACAGAAACCTCTGTTTGTGACCTTCTTAAACTGCACAGGCGAGATTTATACTTTCCATTTGACATGATGACTTGTACTTTAAGTGCAATCACAATTATAATTAAATATGAAATTTTCCTATTCAATGATCCAGCTGAATAAAAAAAACTGGGAAAAAATGAGTCAAAGTAGAGTCAGATTAGCAGCCTTGATTTTTTTCCCAGGTGCCCTCCCTCCCCCTCTTTTTAAAATTAATTGAGTCTTGTTTTTAGAGGTTGAGGTTAAAGTTAGTTTAAAGTTATCAGTGTTAAAGTTAGTTAAGAGTAAGTTAGAGATTTAACATCTGTGCTACAGCTGAATTTCCAGAGTGTTTAAGGCAGTAATGCTTTTGAAGAATTCTGAATAGATTATTGAATGATTGAGTGCATCTTATGCTAAAACTTTTCATTTAATGCCTTGTGTTTTGGATTAGTAAGTGAAGAACATTTTTAAGGAAGGCGGTTGAAGGAGCTCATGCATTTTTAAATAAAAGAACCTAATCACTTTTCTAGTTATATTTGCCTGCAACTAAATATAAATCTGCTCCTTTTTTTTTAAACATTGTTCATAATTTAAAAATATGGATTCCATTCATATTTTTGTTAATAGCAGAAGGGTTTTGTTTCTTTTGCGGACCTGCTGTCACAGGTAGAACCCTAGGTGAGGACCATGTAGCTCAGAATATTTTCTGAGGAATCTAACGCTACTGTAAACTGCAGTGTAAAACTCAGGTCATTACTATTAACTGTAGTTATGTTAATGATGAAGGTATAGGTGAGTTGTGTTCAGGAGTTCTCAAACTTTGTACAGAACAGGAAAGATTTAAGCCATTGGCTGTGTTATGCAGAAGTGAAGTCTGCCAGTTTCAGTTGGGGCAATTATGTGAGGAAGTGCCGATTAAGGAATCGCAGCTCTACAAGCATGTCTTTATAAGACAGAAGATTGTCAGTGAAGATGTCAGATAAGAAAAAACAAATTGGCCAAAAAGTTTAAAGCATGAGTGAATGTCCAAACATGGTGCTCCCAGTGCAGTAAAAGTCACCATTTCTTCTATTTTGATATTTCAAGAATTTGCCTCAAACCTCTATTCTATCCCCTCAAATTCTTCAGGGATTGAATTTGAAGAGGAAGGAATGCTTAAGTTTCCGGAATAAAAAAGGTCTACCTTCCAGTGTGATTTCAACAAAGTCATACCTCAAGTCCCTTGAGCTTAAGAAGACTTTGTAAACAGAAAGGCTCAAAAGGCACCAACAAATAGTCCTTACAGGAGACATGCTAAAGATGGCTTAAGTGCTGTGGTTAGGTAGAGTGAAAGGGACCTGAGGGGCTCCAGGCAGGAAGTCACGGCAGCAGTCGTCTTAACTTGTATGTAACCTGTCATGTCCATGGTTTATTAGTTCTTCTAACGTGACAGAGAGAACTTTCCTTTACAAAAAAGTCACAGTCAATTCAGAATATAAAGAAGATGAGTGTTTAGAGACATATGAAAGCATGAAAGTAAAGTTTTAATAGGTTTCAAGTTGTTATGATGGAGTTAATGCAATTATTCTGTGAATAATATCGGCAAGAATAGACAAGTCAAGGATAGCGCTTGCAGAATAGAAAGCTACTGCTGTAGTATGTTCTGCCTTTTCTAGAAGTACATTTGATTTTCTGTAAACTCGCACAATTCTATTGGTGTAGGAAAGCTATTCATTATACCAAATCTTGGCCTAGCAAGTGTACCCTGGCAAAAAGCATGTGTACTCAGGTGTACTCTTTTGTGCGCATGAACTTGGTTACTATGTATTTTACTGTGAGTTTAGTTATAGCAGAACGTGTCTTTCTACTTGATGGAAACTTTCTCTTGAAGGTGTGGGAATCTGTGCAAATAACTTATTCTTCTGAGATCAAAATCGCAACAGATAGGAGTACTGCATGGAATAAATGAAACTTCTTTTTATTCTGATTTCCTTGCACCACCCTTGTGGTTGTCTTACATTTCTCTTCAGCAACTGTGTTATTCCTGCAGGTCACAACGAGTAAGAAAAGCTCTCTAGGTACATATCTCTTTCCACTTTTTTCCTTGTACTCTCCATAAGGATTCAGCTACTGTTCCAGTCAGCAGATCACATCTGTGGCGCCTTTGCACAAAGACAGTGTTATAGCAGTGATTTACTAGAGAAGTCTGTTTCACACTGAACTCCTTACCCGGTATCAGCATAGAGGAGTAGGATGTAGAGTAGTGACTCGATTTCCCTGGCTGTGTGCTGTTAGGGCAGGGCCCAGCCGTTCTCACTGAACTCAGTAAAGGTCACTTAGCTTCTTAAAAGACAGATGAAAAGAAAACTGAAAAAAAGCACCTAATTTGTATTTTTAAATCTGCTTTTAGTGTATCACACTACTATAAACTAAAGATATCATTCTTTTAATATGCTATGTTCCAGAGGGCTTTTAATGTAAAATATGACTAGGGTACTTGGTTAAGGTTTTTTAATATTTTGTGCTCTGTGAGCTTTTGTGGACATGTGCGAGCTAACCATTCCTTTTTTCTCTTTTCAGGGACCTTTGTCGCCAGGATAAAGCATGCGAATATTACTTCAGCATAGATGCAGATGTTGTACTGACAAACTCAAAGACTTTAAAAATACTGGTAGAACAGAACAGGTGTAGTATTTCTCTTGACTTTACAGAATTTCTCCCAGCTTGAAAAGACTTTCTGGGCCCCCATTTTTTTATTGCTCCCTTTCTCAACATGGTATTATTGTAAGAAAACTCAGATTAATTCCCTGTAGATTTTTGTTCCCAACGTTCTACAATGGTTATTTTCCTGTAACTGTTGCCACTGACTTCACAGCTGACGAATTGTCATGTTCACCTTTGCTCTGTAGTAGTAAACTAAACTCATTAAGCTGTACCAGTGGAAAACTTTGAAACTAATCTTACACCCTTTTGGTTGATGTACCTTTATGCAGGTATATTAAACCAAAAAATGATCTCGTTTCATGAGAAAACTGCTTCAAGAAATAAGATCCTGTCTGTTCTTCCAGAATTAGACCCTCTTGTTTCCCTGCAGTGTTTGATTGCCGTGGTTGATAACAGCCTTGGAAGCTACCAATTCTCAAAGCTTTTATCTTTTATTTTTGTCAGGCGACAATTCCTGATGTGAATTTCAAATATTTGAAAGTTGTTCTGAAGACAGTGGTGTGGTGTAAATACTTTTTTTTGTCAAATGTGTCGATTTCAAGGACTGATAATTCAGAGTTGGTCATGTGTATGTATACATACACACACATGTATATTTTATTGTTGATATTGCTATATTACTACTTTGTTTCTAAAACATAAATGAAACGAATGGTAATTTTTTTTTCTTGGAGCTGAGATATCTCCGTCATTCTTGCTCTAAAGATCAGTTTCTGCTTGTGTTAGTGTGATCTCTAAAGTCAAACCGAGCTGTGACTTTTACCCAGTGGCAGGTTTAGGCAGGCTGGACCTGGTGCGAAGAACATACTGTGCACACCATATAGCAGCGCAGCCAGAGGGTGCCTCAGCCCATTCAGAACTTCCCATGTTAGTGACCCGGGTGGTGTTTCGGCCTTCGTAACAAATCTGGTAATGTCCAGTGTATCACACAGGAAGATAAATTATCAGTGTCTCTGTTAGCCTACTGGTGAGAAGGGATAGAGCTTAGATGAAGATACAGCTGCCACTGCTTTGTGTAATGTTCTTTGTAGAATTTACTGTTGTAAAAAAAGAGAGGATAAAGTCAGATACATGACATGAAAGAAGCAGAAGCTTTGCAAGATGTATCTACCAGCAGACAGTCCCCAGAACAGAAGTTCCGTTTTTTGTTCTTTTTTTTCTAGTCAACTTAGATTCTCTTTTTGACTTTGTATTAAATTTTGGGAAAGCAGGTGTTACCTCTGATGTTGTCTTTGGGCAGCTGGAGGCTTGGATGCTGTTTCCTTCCAGCTCAAAGTCAGAGTTGCTGCTCCAGTATTTGACAGTCATTGGAGTGCCGTGCTGTTAAAATACCGAAGGGAGAAAAGCCAATGCAGTTTGACACAGAGACTAATAAGTATTGCAGCTCACGTTTTCATATTATTTAATGTCATTTCACAGAAAGATAATTGCTCCACTTGTAACGCGGCATGGGAAACTTTGGTCCAATTTCTGGGGTGCTTTGAGCCCAGATGGCTACTATGCTCGATCAGAGGACTATGTTGATATTGTCCAAGGGAACAGAGTGTAAGTAATTGTGCTCTAATGTCTGAAGTTAAGGCACTTGTGTACAGTTATTAGCAACATATTCTTACCTTACTTTCCATACAGTCTTGTATTGTTTTTGAAGAGCTTATGTTAGTTATGTTGTTTAGCTTTTTCCGTTCCATAGATATGCTTTTATTTTCCCTTTTGTTTCACAGCCTGAAATAGAAAAACAAAATATGTAACACAGTGAGCTAGTATTAGTAAAGGACATGGTCATTACTAGTACCTGTCTGACTGTGTGTGTGTCTGATTACTCTGAGTGCATAATATAAAAAATGGCAAAACAAAAGGGTTATAGTTTCTGCCTATGTCCCAGAAACCTCAGTCGATAGGAATCGTTGTTGCTTTCGTCAAATGGCTGTAAGTACTTCTTCGTCTCTTCTGGGCGAATAGACTATTTAATCAATGCATAACTGAACGACTGTAACTTCTTTGTTAATGTGTTTCTTCTTGTATGTTATGTCAGGTATATCCTCCAGAGCTCTAGGGAAATATGTTGTTTCACAGCCTTTTAAGTTATTCCCTTCCCTAAATTAATGAGATTTAAGCTAATCTAAGCTTGACTTTCCCATGCAGTGACGCCACCTTTTCCTTGCCCTGAAAGAACAAAAAGGTCTGAAGCAGACTCACCATTTGAATAGGACTGGCTTTTTTGCATTGCACTGAAAGATGCGCTCTTGGCTTTGGGAGACTTGGCACAGGGAAGGAGGAAAATCTGCAAAGCATGCATTGTACAGCGGCAATGCTTATTTGTTGATACTGGCCCAACTCACATAAATATATGGCCTGCTGTGGTCAATGGTATTTGTGTGAGGAGGTCAGACCAGCTGTGTGAAGCCTCAGTACAGCATGTGAACTCTTCTAAAAATCTGTTTCAGAATTATTTGCTCAATCTGGCAGTGCAGAATAATATTATAATATAAAGGAATTTGATTGATAGTCTTAACTATGCAAACATGAAGTGCATTTGTAGCTAAAACTTGCTTTAGGGAATTTGATCTTTTTTCATGGCAATACTTCATAAAAATTGAATTACTGCCTACGCCTACATTTGGGATGTGATCCCTTTGTGTCCAGCTGTAGTTTTTCAGATGTCTTGGGAACCTTTCAGCTTCATTGCCTTGAAGCTCACTTTGTCCTGTCAGCAGAGATGCTGATTTAATAGAATATACAACAAATTACAGTTTTAATGACTAAATTATTTCTATTTGTTTCTTACAGAGGAGTTTGGAATATTCCCTATATGGCTAATATATATTTAATTAAGGGACAAACTCTCAGATCAGAGATGAAAGAGAAAAACTACTTTATACGTGATAAGTTGGATCCTGATATGGCTCTCTGCAAATGCCAGGGAAATGGTAAGGTGTATCTATAACAGCTTGCTTTTGAATATAAAACACGTAGACTTCTTTGTGCCGTGCTACACCTGACTGCTTCACTTGATGGATCTTGGATTTTGTATTATTGCTTCTAATTAAAAGTACTGGCCAATTTTTGAGACATGTTAGACTGCTTTAGGTGTATTTCTTTAAATTCTTGAGAAGAGGAGAGTGGAGGTTTTTCCAAGGCCAGTGCATTTGTGCACTGACTACATGATGGTTTTTGTTTAAAAACACTGAAAATTCCTGTTGAGGTTTAAGTATTTTGCTTGTTGTCACAACCTCAATAGGATGACAGAGAGCTCAACTTTTCCCTTGCTGTATATGACTTTAAATTTATCAGTGTGTTTAGAGCTTCTCTGCTATCCACATTTTTATACAATGTGGAATTTAGCAAACTGAGTTGGAATATTTAGTAATTCTGTAGTTTAGTAGATAAATTTTTTAAGCTAGGTGGTGGACAATGTTGATATAAAAATCCCTAAGTAATTTATGAAATGGTATTAGTCTTACTGGGGGCATGGACTCAGTAATTCTCTAGATTGATTAAATTTTATGAGAAGTTTTTGTTACTTGCATTAAGCTGTAAGTAATAAGAGCAAGCGTATGTGTACTGTAAAAATGTGTATATGTAAATCCACGTTTCTACTGATATTTACACTAGTTTCAGCACAGAAACAAATAAGAGCTAAACCAGACCTATTTCCAGACACTATAGCATTGAAAAATAATTTTGCTGAATTGAACAAGAAAAGTTGGCAAGTATTAATTTTTTTATTCCCTCATAACAAGGCATGATTTTCTTTGTTTGTACTGAATCTTCAGAACATCCCGGTCAAATTCTCTTATATTCAAACCTTTGCAGCATCAGTTATTGCAAACCTGTGCTTCCCATGTGCTCGTTCAACTAATCCGACTCTGTGGCTCATCAGAAAATTGCCTTCTCTTTTTCTCTTTCTCAGTCTGTGCTGCAAGATGGTCTGGTACTTGCTTGTTTTTGTATTGCAGCAGATAAGAAGGGGCTGATGGAAACAGCTTTGACATGTACATTATGAGCTTGGCTTGGAGATGCATGTTGTCTGTAAAGGCATATCAGCTTTTGGTCAAAGGCTGCTATTTCCCTAATGTAACTGTGGAAATCTAATAGTACTTGGACAAAGAGAAAGAGACTTTGTATCAGTCAACTGATGTGATGATTCTCCTTCATTTTAGACTTTACAAAGGGAAAAAGACTCCCCTTCTTCGGAAACATTCCATATGCTCAGACCCCCAAAGGTGTTGCTTTATTTTTTTTTATTCATTAGTTATTATTACATGCAGTATTATTCTACCTCAGGAAGATCGTTCTCCTCTGTCCACTTACTCTTAGCAAAATACTGCTCTGGCTTTCTCTTCAGTCTTCTAAGGTTCAAGTTTTCACCAGGGACAGGTTCTTCGTGAGCAGTCCAAAACTTCTTAGAGATGCTTGTCGCTCCCTCAGGGAGATTTCTCAGCGCTTCCTAAGTCCAGGTCCTTTTGAAACGTATCGGCGTAAGCATCCCGTGATCTGTGCATCAGCACCTAAAATTGGTTCAGCATTTTTTTTAAAGGAAGGGAACCTTGGCTGTGAGCTATGATCCTGTGCACGACAAAGTTGCTTCTCACTCCAAGTACGCTGATTTATCCCAAATGTTCTGGCATATTTCCTAAGAGGATAAACTTTTCAAAGGATTTCTAGTACAAATGGATTTTCCCCCCATCTTCTCAAGATTTATGGTGGTATAAGATCAGAATACAGCTCAAATTGTTTGCAGGTAAACCAGGCCCAGTGACCACATAAGGCAGGTGTAAAATCAGTGTCATTTAAAGCTGTTTATCTTCTCCTGGATTCTCCTTATTCTCCCTGCTGTAGCTAGTTAGTGATTTGATAAGAGCCCAAAAATGGGCATGTGTTTAACATAATCATTATCATTCTGACAATTTAACTCTTTTCAGACAGAAGCATAGATAGAAGTAACAAAACACCCAAATGGGAACGTCTTCATCTGCTGCAAAACTAAGTCACAAACAATTCTAAAATGAAGTTTTGGTCTGAAAAACAAGAAAATAAAATAAAAAAAACTAAATTTCTTCTTAAGAAAAGAAAGTATTTTCTGCTCTTACTTCTAATCAAGAGTTCTCTTAATATCTTCTGTTAATAGCTTGATAATAGAGCCTTATCACAGCACATTTTAATATTTTGCACGTATTTTCACTATTTGCTTCAGGGAGAACACTTAAGGGCTCAGCTATTTTGTACCCTGATCTGAATCTTACTGTGTGTTGTATTTGCCAATGCCTTTTTATTTCAGGCCAATTCACCAGAAGGATCATGTAGTTAATACTCTGAAACATATTTCTTGTTCTGATTTCCATTAGACCTTCCTCTGTTAGCTCATTCTTTCCATTTTTAATGAGAAACTAAACCATAGATGATGGTTTTCTTTTATGACTGTTTTCAGTATGAGAGCAAGTACTAAATCACAAAATAAGAGCTCAGGGGTTTTTTTTGTTTTTTTTTTTTTTTTTGGGGGGGGGGGGGAGTCTGCTTTTCTTTTCTATAGCTGTCGGTGGTTTTGCGTTATGAACAACATATTTTGGTTAATTCACTTAAAAATAAGTTCAAATAAGTGTTCATTTAAAAAAAAAAAGCACTTGCACTAGACTGATTAGAGTCAACCATTTGAAGATTTAAAATACTCAGAATTGAAAATGAGCAATGCATAGGTATAATATCTATGTACAAGTGATATTTCATAAAACAAGTGCAGGCGTAAACAAACACAAAGACTTTAAAATGTCATTTTTACTGAAATAGACGATTTTGCTAATGACATTTTCTCTGTTTGGTATAGGGTGTTTTCATGTACATTACCAACAGACATGAATTTGGAAGACTTATTTCTACAGCCAATTACAATACCTCCCATTACAACAACGACCTCTGGCAGATATTTGAAAATCCTGTGGTATGCATCTAATTATTCATGAAATAATTATTTTATTTTAAAAACTATTTTAAAGTTTGTCTTTAAAGAACTTAATTTTTTATGACCTTTGCCTGGAGAACTTTGTGGTTTTTTTATTATTTTTTGTTATGCACTAAATATTGATGGTGTACTAAAAGTTGTTCTGTACCATCCATTTAAGCCTACGCCAACACACCAGCTAATGACTTGAGTAAGGAGTTACAGATATGGCCCTAATATATCAGATCTCATGTTTTTGAGATGATGGGACCCAGTTCATTTAGGGATATGAGAGATGTTTAGTTTTCTCATGCTTTCAGTAGAGCAGAATGTCAATTAATTTTTCTATCACTTTAAATTGGAACAAGTGAGTTCTTAATGTATCAAAATCATTCTTTTCAGGACTGGAAGGAAACGTATATAAATCCCAACTACTCCAAGATCTTCACTGATAATATAGTAGAACAGGTAGGTATAAATATTGTTAGAGAAAGACTAAGAGTAGTTGTCTTATATAATTGTGGGACTGACTAATAATAAGTTGTCGTACAGTAATGCTGTTCTGGTCTGTGGCTGTACACCTGTTGAGACTTGGAGAAGAGCTGAACTTTTGCACTTCTGAAAATTAGATGAGAGAAATCCGGATAATTGGTCAATTATTCGGAATAAAATAATTGTCTAAGTAGCTCCCTTCCGCAAAATGCGGTTGTGGTTGATTTAGGGTTTGTACTTGATGGATGTGTTTTCTGGTTTCTAATAATGGCAAGCTCTTACAGACACTTTTCTCTGGGTATGCTTTTCATATGGATTCTCTAAGGACTGATAAATATTAACCCCAAAGGAAGCCTTTTCCTTAGCCTTGTTGGATGCTTAGAGGTCTTTTTTCTGACTGCCTGCTTTCATGTAACTGTCTGGACATAATACTTTTAAGATCTTAATCATTGTATCAATGGTGGCTGATGAGTTCTGTGACAATTAGGCACAATGATTCAATTAACTTTTTTCCTGAAGAAGCCAGGATAAATTGTTCTCAAGTTTAAAGCCATGTTATGTTTGAAACCTGTTTTTCTTAATAGTTCACATCTAGAAAGCCGAGGTTGTCACTTAGAACAGCCAAGGCACAGAATATTGGGGTACATAGATGTGAACTGTTAGTTATGGGTGGTGACATACAATGTGCCTCTTTGTTCCCACAAAATGAGGCCAGACTATGTTATAGATCAAGAGGAATTTTAATTATTTAGATGTATGTGGATTATGACTCAGCACAGAATTACTGATACTCCTTATTGACTCAGAAAAGTGAAGAAGTCCTGGACCTGAGCTTTTTTAGCAGTTGAAAATAAGATAGCAGTTGAAAATAAGATAGCAGTAATAACCTCTACTGAAAGAAATGAACGTAGATTTTTTTTTTTGTTTTTTCCCCCTAATAGCCATGTCCAGATGTGTTTTGGTTTCCCATATTTTCCGAGACTGCCTGTGATGAACTGGTAGAAGAAATGGAACATTTTGGACAATGGTCTGGTGGAAAACACCAAGTAAGTGTCAGTCTATATAAAAAAAAAAAAAAGCTCCTATTAAGAGTAAACTGACAATAGTAAGTAGTAGTATACTGCAATTCCAACATTCCAACAATTGCTAATTACCTAGGACATCTGGTCTGTGGCATAAAGTGCTTAGTTTTGTCTACCGCATAGTTTGTTCTTCAGCAGTTTTGGAGACATTCCTCAGTTAACCTTGAACTAGTGAATCCAGACGCTAACAGCGGTGCAGTTGCTGTAGCGCTGCAGATCCACAATGGATGAATGTTCTTAATTGTTTAGAGAAGTTTTAACTCCTTTATCTCAAGTACTAATTTTTCAGACTTATCCCTCTAAACAGTCACTCACAAATACTATGAGCTATTGTGTTTGTGTTTGCACAAAGTTCGAAACGTTCATTAACTGTTGCTAAAATCAGAGTCTTAACAACAGGAAGATTTGTCATATTCACAAACCCTGTGTTCTGGAAAAGAGATAAATTACAGCCATCATGACTTCACTGCAGGGAGGAGCCTCCAAAAAGCATTTTGTATCATACTTTTATCTTTACATTATTTTCCTAGGTTTATTGCCATGGCAAGTTGAAGACCTGTATTCTGTTGACCTGGTATAACTTGCGTTGTTTAGTTCCTTTTGTATCACAGTTGTTAAAGCTGTTACCTACCTTAGAGTTACCTTCATGAAGCCCTTACATATGGGCAACACATGCAAATATTGACTCACCTTTCTAAAATGTTTCAGTTCCTGTTCCTTGTTACTTCAGCGTTTTTTTCCCATAGCAGCTAGCGGTGACATTAATGCACAGCTAGCTCAGATGTGCCCGCTGAGGCGTAGCGCTGTTGTAGCTTTGTGATTCTGCAGATTTCAAGTAAGCATGTGAAGAAGTGCCAGAAGCATTCTGTGCTCGTATTTCAAGGCTATTTATGGTGCTTTCCTTAGGACAGCCGTATTTCTGGAGGTTATGAAAATGTCCCAACTGATGATATTCATATGAAGCAAATCGGGCTGGATAATGAATGGCTACATTTCATAAGAGAGTTTATTGCCCCCGTAACACTAAAAGTCTTTGCTGGCTATTACACAAAGGTATGTGTTTAAAACTATTGCAGGCAGTAGCTGTGTGGAATGACTATTTCTTAGGATATATTTGATAAAATACTTATCCTGTTTGGTTGGACTTGACATGGAAATTCAGGTGCTGAAGTCTGACTGTGTATTTTGTTTCAGGGGTATGCTTTACTGAATTTTGTTGTAAAATATAGCCCTGACAGACAACGTTCACTCAGACCTCATCATGACTCCTCTACGTTCACAATCAACATTGCTCTCAACAAAGTAGGAGAGGACTTTCAAGTAAGTCTGCAACTTGTTTAGTGCAATAAAAAGTTTTCTATTTTGAGTGTCTAACGTTTGTTTCCGTGCTAGGCCCCAAATGGATTTACTTAAAGACCATGTGGAAGAGGAAAGGATGTGCAGTACAAATTGAGATATATTATTGCTGGGTGTTTTCTGACAGATACTAAATTTGCTCAGTTGCAGATTGCAGGGTCCAAAACTATTGGTGCAATCAAGCTGGATTAGACAAATCGTTTCAATGGAAGCCAAAGGAGGTGGTGGGCTGGGTATGGAAGGAAAACTTTGGAGATACGAATGGTTTCATTTCTGACATTTTAGAAATGCTCCATTTTTGTATTGTGAAAAACAGGTTTTTTTAAAATTATTTTGTAGAGTCCTAAGTTGACCCCCAGCAGCTTCTTTTCTTTACAAAATTGTTTTTTCAACTGACTCCTGTTTTAATTCGACCACAAAAACAAAATATTCAACCATATTTTTCTCTTTTTTCTGAGATATATTATTTCCTGCTTTACTATTGATTGGTTCAAATAAAACAACCCCCAGAGTACGGAGACAGAAAGCACAGTGGCAGGAATATTCAGCCTTGACTAGGAGAGAATACCGCTTCTGTTTAGAAATAAAAGCCAGGAAGACAGTTAAGATTTATTTAAGTGCTGTCCTGGATAGAAATGTTGTCTTAGAACAGGTTCTTCAAATATGATTTGCTACTCTCTGGTACCAATTGTAGTAAGGTTATCAAAGGACTGTTCAATAATATATGTCAGAATTGCTACTTGGATTAATTGTTTTGCAGAGAATACTAAAATGAGCTGAAATCTCCATTATTGTAAACGCATCCCTCATATGTATTGCTTTGAAGATGGTACCTTGTTACTATGGATAGTAAAACTTACTTATTGTTAACAGCCTATTAATAATAGCAAAATATTTTAAGTTGTGGATAAATGAAACAGAATCTACTCAAGTATAATGAAAGGTAAAAGATCTTTCTTTTAATTGTTTGTTACAGGGAGGTGGATGCAAATTTCTTAGGTACAACTGTTCCATTGAGTCTCCCAGGAAAGGATGGAGTTTCATGCACCCCGGAAGACTGACTCATTTACATGAAGGACTTCCTATCTTAAATGGCACAAGATACATTGCAGTATCATTTATTGATCCTTAATTTTATATTTTGCCCTCTTCAGTGCCAGTGTTTGATTCTTTACATAAACATTTATTTATAGTTTTCTTCCAGAAGATGGTGATAAAAGAAACTTTAAGTAACTGCTCCTAGACAGCAAGATTACTTTGGGCTAAAAGAATGGGACGTTGGGGCCGGGGGGGGGAGGAAAAATACTTTTGACTTGTTGGAGATTTCTCAATATCTGCTCTGAGCCTTGAGTCACAAAGTAAACATGTCCTGCTTATTTTTCCATTCTGCTGTCTCAAAGAATGGGTAAGGAGGAAAAAGCATTTTATAATAAATCGATTTCTTTGCTGCAAGAAAATTTTAGACACAAAATTATTTGGAAAGTTTATTGTGGTTTTTATCAGTAAAGTGACACAGCTACAGTTGTGGGGTGTGTATCTTTGGTAACAGCCATTAAAAAAACCACAAAGTAAGAAAACTATCAAGTGAATTTCATGTACAGTTGTTGGGGTTAAGCAATAATTCCATTGCTGGAATATACTTAATGGGACATCTCAGTAGCCTTTCTCCTTAATTCATTTTCCGTTCCAAAATGTACAACTTCAGAAGAAAAATGAATTAATTACAGAGATAGATTAATGATTAAATGATTTAGCTAAGCAAAGAATGGTTTTATCATTTGTTTTAAGAACTCATCCTGTTAAAAATTTACTTTTCTTCACCAAGTGTCCTTCATTTTAAATGAGTAATTTTTCTAAATGTGTAATTGCACCTAATTGATACTGGAAATCTGACATTTATTTTCAGAACACTGGTAAATTTTAATATCAGGATGTTTTATAAAGCCAATTTTCTACTCTTATTTAAAATTACTTGAATTTTGTATCAGGAAAATGAAATTGTGGAAGTCTCCCTTTTAAAGCTAAGGGTTTTGCCTTGTGGTTTATTTTAAAGAAATCCGTTTAAAATATTCCTACTGTATCTACTGTTTGTAATTTAAAGAAACTTGAAGCAAACTAGCTCAAAAGCAACCGTGCCAAAATGCACAATGTATTGGAAAAACTTGTGAAAAATAAAGGGTAATTTTAAATTACTCCAGCAGGTTTTACTTGACTGCCTTAGGTAGTTTTTTTTTTTTTTGCATATTGCTATTGTCCTTACAGAAACTCTATTTACTGTCAAATAATTTAAAAAGGAATTATAGATGTTTTGATTGGTAATAGTTTCTCTTCATGTTACCAGTTTTCACCTTATTTATATTGTTACTATTAAAATTTTCTTTTGTGAATTTGTGCGTACGCACAAACACTCACATTGCATTACAAATGCCCACAGCAAGAGGTATGTTTCTTGTCTTCTATGCCAACCTTCCTTTTTTTATATAGCAGAGGTTTTTTTTTTTTTGGTAGTCTGAACAGTAGATCACTTTATACCTGCTAATATTTGAAGAAGCTTTAAATTGCTTCTCTTAAACAGAAGCTTTATTCAGAGCTGAAAAGATTGTGAAAGAATTCAAAGATTATTTCTATCTAAAATAATCAGTTTTGCTTATTTCCCTGTTCTGTTGTTTTGAGACCTGGGAAGTAACTGGACTTAAAGTTATACTGAAGCAAATGCATCAAAATGTAGTACTTCTAATATTGTAGTAAAGTAGGCTGGTTTGGAAAGGAATGACTCTTCACAATAAATTCTTTGTTTTTTTTCTTTTCATTTCTCTTTACTTTGTCAGCTTTTCTCCACTTCAGGTTAATCTTCTCAGGTGGGTAAATTTATCCCCCAACTTTATTTCCACACTGGAAACACCCCTGTCTTAGTGAGCTTCCTCTCTGGATGGCCTCTTCTCTTCTCTGTCTGTGCTTCTGCAAACTGTACAGCTGAGAATATTTTCAGGATATTTCTCAGACTGAAAGCAGCCTTTGTTAATGGCCTTTTTTCTGAGTTTGCCTGTGGTCTCTTAGGGTAACTCAGAACAGAGTAATCCTTTTACCACTGGATCAGGTAAAGGCAGGTTAGTGTTATGAGGATGTTTTCTTGGAAAAGCAGCAACACACGCACACACCCGCACATCCTTGAATGCAGAACGCGGGAATTGTTTTTGCAGAAATTTTTGTATAATGTGTAGGTTATTTGCATTTTGGCATAATTTGTAGGTTATTTGATTATGTTTTACTTCTGCGTCACATTAGGTTTTCCTTCCTTTTTTTCCTCTCAACATTTACTTATATGATGGCTTAACGTATTGTTAAATTTGCATGTTTACATTTATTAATTCATCTTCTCTGCTATAATGGTGTATTTCAATGTGCTGCACGTTTCTTGGAGGGGAAAATGCGTTTACCATGGTTAGGTTTACATTGCGAAAATCCTCTCGTTATTTCTTTCGATGAAACATTTGCCAAGGTTAACAACTCCCTTTCAGGTAGGTGGCAACGTATACAGCGGACAACAGAGCCCTCGTTCACTTCTTAGGCATTGATAGATACTAGAGAAAAGTTTGTTCTTAACAGTTCACCTGAATTAGTTCTGAAAGCTTTACTGTGCTGTTAGTGTGTTGGTACAGTAGCTCATACAGGCTAAATGGAATTGCCACTAGTGGGAAGTTATTTTTAATTTTCAGTAATTCTAAAGGAATTAAAAACAATTTCTGAGTCTTCTAACCAATTTGGATTTGGGACATAGAAGATAAATACGTTGGGAGGAAGGTAGCAGCTTTAATTCCATCAGTGTCTGTGAGACCGTAGGAGTACAAGGATATAAAGGTGCTCTGCAACAAATGAGACATTGGTAAAGTATCAGACCTGTTTTGCTTTTACCTAGCTTTATTTTTTCAGTGGTAAATACTTGAATCCGAGACTCAGTGGTTTGGATAAGAGGAGAGAGAGCAGGATATGGGCAGGAGAAAATTCCTTACGTTTTTAACTAAATAGAGGGTATATAGTTTTGGAGGGGATGGTGTTTCCACCCCTCCCCCCCACCCTTATATTTTTCATATTCATAGACTATTCTGACTCTCTAATACTTCTAAATAATGTTCAGGGTGTTCAGTAATGTTTTTACACATTTAGTTGTCTTTAACATTACTGCACAACAGGGAATTCTAATATGTATTTGTCTCCATTTCCTTCCAAAGGGTTGCCATTCCATTGTTAGGGTGAGGTGATAGGAGTGAGACCGTGAAAAGCCAAAAAGGAAGATGGATTTTCAGTGAGGCACTAATAGTGGCTTCTATTTGATTGTGATCTTTTTTTTGTAATGGCTTTTCTCCCTGTTTTATTTTATTTTTGGAATAAATGTTAATTCAAAGTGCAATAGCCTTTCTTTTGCAGCATGTAAGAAGTAAGGAGATGAAGTTATTCAAAGAGGGAAAAGCCTAGAAAGGAACCCTTGGCATGCCTTCCTCTCACATGCACATACCAGTTTTCCTTTTATTTTTCTCTTTGAATGAATATGCCTACATTTTTCTTTTCAGCTACTGCCATGAAATTTTTAAAGAACTCATGTATTTCAATTCTTTTGATTTGTTTCTCATACAGTCTTCACTGGATTCAGTTGCGAAAGCAGTAAGTATTCCTTTGAATCTTCGTTCCTTGACTCATCACTTCCTTGCATGGGAGAGTAAACATCTTTACTGGTTTTGTTAGGTAATTGTGTTCCCTACCACTATCTCAGGAGCCCCCTTTGGCTGAGGTGTCTGAGAAATGACTTGAGTTTTTTTGCTGAGATTTTTTTGGCTATATAGCACAGCCTGGATTCCAGGGCGAAGCCTTTATAAAACACATACTTAGAGTTGATATCAGCAGGTCAAAAGGGAATCAAGGAACACCTGATTTACACTAGCAGAGTTGCTAAATTATGGAGTTCCCGTAATTACTAGTTCATTCAGGACCCTCAAGAAACCCCAGTTGTTCTCTTCCTTCTTTCTAGCGTGCTGCTAAGACAGTCTCTGACAGCATGTTAGTATCAAGCCAACAGTAAAAGTGAAATGAGTTGATGGCACAGGGTTTTTCTCGTACCCAAAAGGTGGACGAGTCATTTCAAATCATTCTCCAGCAAGGTTTTCCAGAGTCCTCCTTTATCTTGACAAGTTATTCGAACAGATTATTCTGAATATAATGAAGCACATATTCTCTTTGACAGTTGCAAAGAACCTTTTAACATCACCTGATTTCAAAATCCAGTTCTTGCATGTAAATCAGACATTGAAAAAAAATTGGAAAGAGATGCCTTTCTTGTCTTCAATGAAACTTTGTTTATGATAGTTATTCTATTTTTTTAATATAATTGTATTCTAGTTTGACATATCTCATAAGAGCTGTTTAATTATGTCTAATTTATAGGATGGTGGTTATCCTTTAGGGTACCCTGTGGAGTGGAAATGAGAAGGGGGTGAAGCAGTTTTCAGGAAACCTCAAAATTCACCCTGCAGAATTGCTCCTTTGACCAGCTGTTGGCACAGATCTGTACAGCATGTTCTTAGGAGCAGTTGACTTTCTGACATGCTGCTAAGGAAACGTAGAGAGATTGCTTTAAATGCAGCCAAAAGAGATTTTCTGAAGAGGAGAAAAAAAAAAAAGAAATGAATTTTGATCCAGAAGTTTAACTTTCCAGAAGTAATAAATCACCAAGAAAAAAAAATGGCAGTCCCATGCGTTTGTTCTGTACAAGAATCTTCTGTGTGATAGTCTAACCAAATAAAATATAGTCAAGGTACTTAATAGAAGAACATTAGAACAGCAGAAGAAGCAACAGTTCAAAGGTAGGATCTCTCTCAGCTTGGTTACAACCTTTGGCTTTGGGACTTCCAAAGTTGCACGGAAAGTCTGGTCTGCGTGATGGAGGTCAGTCATACCACATGCAGTGCTTCAGAGCAATGCTGTGCTATGTAGGAAGTGGGGAAAATTGCATTTTTCTTTAAAGTCTTTCTTGTGTTCTGAGTCTTGAATGTTGTCCCCTCTGTGCCTGCATCTGCCGCTTCATACTGGTTTACAGTTGTTAAATATCTCTGTGTGCCTGGGGTTGGCCATGGAGGTATGAAGTCACATAGTAACAAATCTATGCAGAAATTAGTCATCTGGCTTGAAACCAGAACTTTTTTATTTCTGAGGATTTTGCTCCCATGTGAAAAGAGCTGCTCAAATACTAATGGCTTTGCACCACTTTTTTTCCTCCCTTTTTCTGGGAGGTGAAGGAGGAGGAGAGGAAAGAGAGGAGAAAGGAAGCAAATTGTATTTAGTATAAGCTCATCCTAACATCTGATTTAGTACAGACTGGGCATGAAAGTGTTTCATTTTCATAGCTTCAGCTGGAATGGCAGATCAATACTTTACAGCTGTGAGATGTTTTACAGTGCTTTAAGGCATCAGGACCTAGCCTTCAAAGTAGGCACAGTTAATACTTCAGATTTTAAGCTTTCTCTTGATTTAGATTGCTAATCTCTCACAATATGCATGCCTCCATTGGTGTTATGTGAAAATAAGGTTTGCAACTTTACTTTTCCTTTTAAAAAATCTGTGGTTTTAGAGTAGTAATTTTCCTTTTAAATTTAAAAAGCATTTTCTTCCAATTATCAAAGGTAAATAGTCCATTCCCCATAATACAGCAGCAGGACTAGAGAAATTACTGCTCAGGTCTTGGTTGCTTAAAGTGCCTTGGTGACTGATAACGGTAGTGTGTTGTTCTTCTGCGAGAGAAAAGCGTATCTGACCTCTGTTGTTAATGTTGGAAGGCGATGTCTTTCTCCATCATCTTCTGGTGGCGGAAAGGATGGAGAGATGGAGCCAGTGAGGGTACCTGAAGAGACAACTTTATTCTGTTCTTAGGCCCTGTCTGCACTCAGCACAATCATTACGGAGAAATTATTTTTTGCCACTGTAATTACGTCTTGCTCCCTGGGGACATGTTGCATATAAACTTGGAGAAAACTGATTGTGCTTTGTAAGGAAGAAATCTTCTGGTATTTTTAGATCTTGAATTATTTGAGCTCGCAGGAGATGCGGTTTCCCCCTACCCGAAGGCTTCTAACCGTTTGAGCACAGCAGTAACCGTTTGAGCACAGCAGTAACCAAAAGCGTTTCTGTAAGAGATGTTATCCCTT